TCTCCAAGGATGGAGACTCCACAACCTCTTTGGGCAATCTGTGCCAGGGCTTGGTCACCCTCACAGTCAAAAAGTTTTTGCTGATATTCAGAGGGAACCTCCTGCATTTCAGTTTGTGCCCATTGACTGTTGTCTTGTCACAGGGCACCACTGGAAAGAGCCTGGCTCCACTTTCTTTGCAGACTCCCTTCCGGTATTTATACACGTTGATGAGATCCGCCCTGAGTCTTCTCTTTTCTAGGCTAAACAGTCCCTGCCCTCTCTCACTTTGCTCCTGTGAGAGCTGCTTCAGTCCCTTAATCATCTTTGCGGCCCTTCACTGGCCTCTGTCCAGTATGTCTGTAGCTGTCTTGTACTGGGGAGCCCAGAACTGGACACAATATTCCAGGTGTGGCCTTACCAGTACTGAGTAGAGCTAATCTCTGCTTCATCTGCATAATTTAGAGAAAAAGAAATAGAATAGGGCAGAAAATATCTTGAGTAATTTCAACAGAAAGACAACTTGATGAGTATGGATTATTATTATAATTAATGATTCACATCTGTGTGTAAAAATAAAAACAAAAATATAAACAAATGATAGCAAGCTGTTTGGTGAGGTAGACACGCTGGAGGGGAGGGATGCCATCCAGAGGGACCTGGACAGTCTGGAGAGGTGGGCCCAAGCCAACCTCATGCAGTTCAACAAGGGCAAGTGCAAGGTCCTGCATCTGGGTCAGGGCAATCCCAAGCACAAATACAGGCTCGGTGGGGAATGGCTGAAGAGCAGCCCTGAGAAGAAGGACCTGGGTGTGCTGATTGATGAGAAGCTTAGCATGTTCAATCGCAGCCCAGAAGGCCAACCGCACCCTGGGCTGCATCAAAAGAAGTGTGGCCAGCAGGTCAAGGGAGGTGATCCTGCCCCTCTACTCCACTCTTGTGAGACCCCACCTGGAGTACTGCGTCCAGCTCTGGAGTCCTCAACATAAGAAAGACATGGACCTGCTGGAGCATGTCCAGAGGAGAGCCACGAGGATGATCCGAGGGCTGGAGCACCTCTCCTATGAGGAGAAGCTGAGAGAGTTGGGGCTGTTCAGCCTGGAGAAGAGAAGGCTCTGGGGAGACCTTATTGCGGCCTTTCAGTCCCTAAAGGGGGCCTACAGGAGAGCTGGGGAAGCACTTTTTACTAGGGCATGTAGTGACAGGACAAGGGGGGGATGGCTATAAATTGGAAGGGGGCAGGTTTAGATTAAACATTAGGAAGAAGTTTTTTACTTTAAGGGTGGTAAGGCGCTGGAACAGGTTGCCCAGAGAGGTTGTTGAGGCCCCATCCCTGGAGGTGTTCAAGGCCAGGCTGGATGTGGCCTTGGGCAACCTGGTCTAGTGGGAGGGGTCCCTACCCATGGCAGGGGGATTGGAACTTGATGATTTTCAAGGTCCTTTCCAACCTAAACCATTCTATTATTCTATGATTCTATGAAGTAAAAGTGTGAAAGGTAGAGATCCCTTAGAGTTACCTGTTTTGCTTTTGGCATTAAAAACTGCTAATCTTTAATGGTACAAGATACTTTGTTATAGCAAAAAGTGTGATGTTACAAAAAACCCTTACAAACCTCTTTGCATGTCAGAAAAAATATATCCATTTTCTCATCTCTTTGTGTGATTTTAATTAAAAACTTGCTGTGTTAGAACAGCCTTTTACAATAATTAATTTACTTCATAGTTATCCAGAGGTATGTGATTTTAAAGTAGAGAAAGGAAAAATATGAAGACTGCACTTCAGAAATGCAATAATGATATGGATGACTGTATAAATATATTTAATTGCAGTGTATGTCATTAAAAATGATCATTTGCAGGAGTCACTTTTGGTATAATATTGCCATGTATTCAGGCTAGATAAATAATTTATATGTCAGTTGATTTGGTAAATTGTTTGCAATCATACTGTATTTTTAATGCTGACAGCATCTTTTGGTGCTTTTACAGTGACAGTCATTTAGATGCTTGTGCACAGTTTTTTCTCTTTCTGTCAGGCTGAAGAGGGTCACTGATTCCCCAGTGAAGTAACTCAAAACCTTTCTCATTAGTGAAAAATGGCTGCTAAATTCCTTGGCAAGATCAGTTAATGTTACGGATTGTTTTAATCTTTCAAGTGGTTTTATGGCCAAACTGTTGAACCCTCACCTGCTGCTTGAGTTTTCAGACTTCAGACAGACTTTGCTGAAATGGCATGAATGCCAATGGGGAAAACCATCAGGCTCTCAGAAGTACTAGAAAGCAAAAAAACCACCTCACTGTGCATAGTATGACACTGTTTTGCGTTGGTTTGTTGTTGTTTTTTTTTTCCTGTTAAAGACAAGCTACCCCACAGTAAGAGTGCAGGAAACAGGTTTTCTCTACTCTGTAAGGAGACTAGGAAAAACGCAAACAAATATCTTGGCAAAAATAGCCCAACAGTTTTTAGCCATCTATTTGTAAAGAACAAAAATTAAGAAGTAAAAATCAGTCTTGAAATTCTGAATTATTACATGTTACGTGTCCCTTTGTCCAATGGTAGCTATATGTGGCACCTCTCATCATTATTGACTGCAGAGAAAGATACCGTGCTTCAGTGTTGGGTACTCCCTCAATCCAAGCAAAGAATAATGAACAGGTTCTTTAAAACCCAGCTAATAGAGCAAGAAAGGACACAAAGGAGAAGATATGTCCATTTTCTCCAAACAGAAGGAAAAAAATTCACAAATATCCAAATATAGCACGTAATATTTTCAAGTTATGAGGAGGAAAAATCAAGAATCAGCCAAGGCTGAATGGCTTGTTGTGTAAGCTCCCATATTGGTCAGACCCTATGGGAAATACCTGGTGGTAACAGTAGGAAGACTGTTGGTGAGACAGATTCACAGCTACAGAGTGACTAGAGGCCATAGAAGAAATTTGTTTCTAGATACATGGTCATGCTGTGATACATTGCAACCAACTTTTTTTTTCAATCTGCCTCTGGCCTCGACAGAGCCGACCATGCGACTGGATTTTGGAAGATGACTCTCTAGTTTGGTGACCTTGAGTGAGTGGTTCTTACTACACTGAAATCTTCGCTAGTGTTACTAGGTCCCACTGGTCTTTTAAGGATGAAATTTGATTTTGCTAACAATCCTGAATGTTAAGCATACACTATAATAGAAATACTGTGGAAAAATGAATTAATCTAGTCTTTTAGTTTTAATTTTTATATTTCCAGTAGACATAACGTCAAGAAAAGAGCTTATTTCTGTGTTACCCTTTCTACTGCATAAATTCTGTTACTGAAATAAACATTTATCATAGTTCATTTATTCAGTAATTTTAGCATTTTTTTTCTTTCAGTAACTTCTGGTGAAACTGTTGCTGTGGATACACAAACCAGGGTAACCAAGGAAACCACCACCTTCAAACCAGAAATGCCATCTTCTGTGCTTTTGGAGGTTCCAGCCTTGGCTGACTTCAATAAGGCATGGGCAGAACTCACTGACTGGCTTTCTCGACTGGATCGAGACATAAAATCTCAGAGAGTGATAGTAGGTGACCTTGATGATATCAACGACATGATCATCAAACAAAAGGTATGAGAAATACCAATTTTTCAAGTTGAAAGCCTCATGATCTTTATTCTGTATTAAATCATTTCAACAAGGAACACAGGAGAGACGATAGGCTGCAATACATACAGTTGTTACTTATGCTACTTTATCCCATAAACACAATTATTGGATTAAATGTTAAGATAATTAATTGAGGAAAAAAAAGAAGAGTATTTAATAATTTCTCTGGTATTTAAGGCAGATCTCTTGATCTTTCTATTGCTTGTGCTGATTGTATTGTAAGAATATGCAAGCCAATGGTTGAAATATAAACCTCATGAGAAAGAAGGAATTGCATAGTAAGCTCCAGGTTGCCACCAGAAAAGATATCCTGTTTCATACCTTTTCTTGTGTTGCTTCTGTAATAACTTTGAGAGGCTTATGTCCTGCTGCTGTTGGGTTATGAAAAGCTCCTCAGTTGTCTTAAAGAAAAGAACAGCTCATTAATGCAAGTGTTGTGTTAAGAAAACTGCATCAGTGTTACTTATCATTGAAAGCAGAAGAATATAGAAATATATATGCAAGGAAAAAAAAAAAAAGGCTAAACTTTAGCTACTCAGTAGCAATAAAAGTAATTTGGTATTATACACCTTGAAAGTAATTACCTGCCTTCTAGATTTAACATTGCTCAATATAAAAGATTTGGCTTGCATGTGCAAAACTTTTCAGTGTTAAATTTCCATTTGGTTCTGTTCTAAACTGAGTTTAGGACTCTCTGTTATAAGATTCTCTTCTGCTTCCTCCTCCTCCTCTTCCTACTAAAAAACAAAAGTGATTTATTGTAGGGAAGATGTTATTCTTTCTCTTTGCTTAAATTAAAAAGAGAGGGAGAAACAATGGATATATTCTGCCTAGTATTTATACTAAGCAGTTTTATAAGAACATCTACATTAGAATATGTGGATGTCTCATAGGATTCATTCTGCTTGTTTTCTTATATTTCCCATTTTTTAGTGGTTTAAACTCAATTTTTGAAGACTGTTGGTTTGCTTTACCTTCTAGATTTGTAAGATATTTGTTTCATCTTGATTAATGATCACAATATATACTGTGTAGAATTATACAGTGTTTTATTAATTAAAATCTCTTTAAAATGGTGTGGGTATATTTGAATAACAGGTGATAGTTACAGTATCGCCTATACAGGACACTGGATTAAAAGAGTTGTTATATCACTTGAAAAGGTTGAGTGCCAAAGAAGACTTATTTGTACATTATCTTTTCATCTTTTTCAGAATTGTTTTGTTTTTAAAATTTTATGTTGTCGAGCACTTGGTTCAGAATTATATGGTTTTCTCACTTATACCTAATTTTAGCATATTATTCTGGCAGGCAAAACCCATAGCTTGCTTCCTTCTGTAGGTCTCTTTTACTTAAATATGAGATGAAATTATTAACTCTTGAGAATTACAATTGGTGTTATACATGTTTTAAAATGAATTGGTTTATATCTGCATTTCATCTTAACTCAAGGCTGAAATATTTTAGCTGGCTAAGCCAGAACTATTGCAGTCTTCCTCTCGCTTATGTTCCTGGCTGGGTAGCCCTGTCTCTATTTTTTTGATCCCATGCTGTGCTGGTAACAAAAACAGCAGGAAAACTCTTTTTTTTTGTTGTTGTTGTGCTTACCTCTCTAATTGGCTGTGCAACAGAATGTGACATTTAATATATTCTCTGATGAAATGGAAGAATCAATGTCTAAATATAGACTGCAGTTCTGTTAACCGGCTCCGTCTTCTCTAGTGATCATCTTAATATCACTTAATACATGGAAATGAATGTAATAAAATTTTGATTCTGCTCTTAAATCTGTCACTGGATGATTAGGTGAGTTTATCAGACAGAATTTTCAAAACTGACTAAGAATTTTAGTTTTCTCAAAAAAAATCCCCAACAACCTGCTTTCTAATGTGCAGAGTGTCTGCAGCAGTATGTGGGCTGATGATGTTGGACATGTGGGTACTTGACCATTGTGTAAAGTCAGGTCAGATATGATCTCAGTTGGAAATCCAAAAGTAGTGCTTACTTCCCCAGATCTGTATATTCTGTAAAAGGTCACAGTCGTACCTCTTCTGTGGTTGTGATTCAAGTCATTGAAAGTCACAGTTTTGCACTGTGTTCTCTTTGGAGAGTTTGTTGCACCTTTACAGGGATCTCGGTAAGCTTTAATGAACTTTCTGTCTTAGTAGATTGACTTTTTTTTTTATAATCAGTTTTTCAATGTTAGGTGTAAAATACCATTTTAACACAGCCAAATACTTCCCTTATAAAAATTCATCATCCTAAAGATACATGCTCCATGAAATATGTTTCATTATAATGCATCCCTAGTTGCTCACCCAGAATTTAGGATACTTCAAACTGCTAGTCCCATTGGCGTGCTACCGAGCTCTTACTGTTTTGAGGTTTTGTTTCCATTTCATATTTCTTTCAAAACAAAGAGCCACATTTCTAATAGGAAATGGAAATGTCAAAGCAAACATTTTAAAAGCAAAGAAATCCCATATCCTAGCAATGTATGTAACGGGACATTTTCTAAATCACCCAGGTAAGAATAAAACCTTAAGTTGTTCTTTCTTTCACTGCAGCACGTAATGTTAAAGCCAAGTCTCTGAGGGCATTTTGGTTAAGTTAATTTCAATCTGATCATGTCACAAGATCACAGCCACTAACTCTGCCATGTTTTTCCTCCATAAAAGTTTAAGACATCATTAGCCCCTACTCGAACTTTGCTTGGAGGTGATCACAGTGAATTGGTACTCTTGTGTGAATAGCATGTACAAAGGTTAATTATGGAACAAAACAAAACAAAGAAGACAGCTATTCTAAAAAAGGTTTGTTTTAGTAGCAGCTTGCCTTTAATGAAAGAAACAATGTAACTTAAATTCTCTTCAGTGGTGCCCATACTACATAGTAAAAGGTGCAGCGTAAAAGAGTAGCATAATGGTTGTTCATTTCAAGCATCTATAGTTAATCTTTCTGTCAAATGACTCACATGTTGTTTCTTTAGACAACCTTAATCTGTGAATGAAGTTCATGGGAAATACTGAGAATATATAATAGGCCAAGATGTAAGTAGCTGAGGGACATGACAGAATATATTTTACACTGTTGCTTCATTTCACTGTCCTTACTTCAAAACAATCAAGATGTTTTGTATTTGAAGGTCAGGTGGAGATTCTTCATAAAAGACAAAATTGTGGACAGAAGAACGGGATGATAAACTACATTTTGCTACATTACATTATGGAAAAATGAAAACCTTTTTACTTAAGATGCCAACAAGCCTTTACTCAGAAACTCTGCTTTGGCATCATAGTATTTTGAGAAAGGTTTGCAGCAGGAACAGGTTTCTACTAAAAGCACTGAACCATGGTGGCTGTGCAAAGCTTGAAGATAATAAACAATGTCATTCAAAGACATCAAGTACTATAATCTCCTTAAATTTCGAATTCTGTTCATGGATTTTGCCAAGGCATGCTGTCCATCCAAAATTTTTGTAACATATGTTACTGAAAACATGACTTTCAGTTGTATTGGATGAAAATAGATTTTACTTGGTAAAAAGTATTATAATAATAGTAATATTACTAATGGATTTGACTACAAACAATTTTTGGTGCCTACTTTTACTCATTGATTCTAAGAGTATAGGTTGAGTCTGCACTGTTAGGTACAGTGAGAAGATTAAACTGAAAAAAGTATTTATGTAAAACGAGGCCTACAACCAAGCTAGTTACTGAGACTTTTAAGTAAAGAAGAGGAAAAGATACTTTTAGGCAATGATTTGTGTCATCCTAAAGTAGTCATCCAAAAAGATTCTGGTAATGTATTTCTACTCAATTAATTTGTCACTATTTAAAAAGTAGGTTTGATCTTCTGTCAGTTAGAGAAGTAAACAAAATTGGAATCAAGAGTTTGTTTTCACTATTAATTACTGAATTGATTTTCCAATAGCTGAGGATCTTCTGCAGCTGATGATAGTAAAATAACTGTTAAGGAAAAATATTGGTTTATAAACCGTGCAATTAATAGACTCCAGATGAAAGAGTGGGCTTAACTGACATTCCCTTTGTTTGAGGATTTTTTACCTATACTTTCCCATGGTTACGTACCATGCAATTTAGTATACAACTTTATAATTACACATGCATTTTCTTATGCAACCTTTTAATTAATATTCTGATAGATCAGAAGTATGGCAAGCTCTCTGTCCAAACTGTTCTCCAACATTTTTTTTTTTGTGGAAATAAAATTACAGTTTTCTAGATTGATATCCCGTTCTTACACAAGCCACAGTAATTGCGAAATTAAAATTTGTAGTTTTGTATGAAGCAGTATGAATCAGTGTTGACCATATTGAATAAAAACTAGTAGTTACAGCCACAGACATTTGTGTCTGTCCATATAGTTTACATCAGAAGTGTAAGCTATAGGTAAGGTGAAGTCCTTGACCTTTTGGACAGTGTACTTCAAGTTCCACAGAGATGTGAAGAAGTTTCATATTAGTGACATACACACGAAAAGGCCCATGTAGCACATCTTCGGATAACATACTGTTAAAGAACATCACTGAAGATTTTACACTTGGAGCTGAACGTTTTCAGTTTAATATTCTGATATGCTTAAAGGGAAGAGTTTGCTAGTCCAGAATCCAAGTATGGGGCCAGTAAGGTGGGAGCTGACATTCACACTTTCCGAATCAATCTTCAGGAGCATATTTGCCCCATCCCTCTCTCTGTGCTGTGATGCTGCTTTGAGGGTTGTTTTCAAAGCTTCACATTCTCTAGGATCTTCTATTTCCATATGAACACACAGCTGCAGACATTTCCTGGGGCACTGTTGGACCAGGATCAACTAGCTCCCAAAGGAAGGCTGGAGTTGAAACCGATTCTGCAGCATGTTGGAGGGTTCATTGGCATTTTTGTGCACCTCCTTTGATAGCAGAACCCTACACATGACTTTATGGCTTAAATGGTGTG